GCCCCCCGCGCCTCCGCTCCACGGCTGCTTCCCACCGGTGACATCCCTCCGAAGAGGATCGCTCGGACACTTTGAGTGCGCAAGAGAGGAAAGATTGCAAGACCCCCCTCCCCCCCTTCCCCCTCCCCACCAAAAAAGGGGGGAGAAAGAAAAAAAGCGGGGAGAAAAAAGCTTGTGGATCTCAGTGGGAAGCATCCGTGCAGGTAGCTCCACTGCTGTGTTCATCCCTTCCCCCCAGCCTTAGCCAAAAGAAAGAAAGAAGGCAACTATCACAGGGTTACTATGCAATTGCGACTGATCTATTGGTTCCTGATCACTTTGAACTTTATGGAATACATTGGCAGCCAGCACGCCTCCAGGGTACGGCGACAGGGAAGAAGTAAGTGCGAAGAGATTGATACCCCTGCTCATTTCCAGTCCCTTGTTGTGCTGATCACCTGCTCGCTTAGCTCTCGAGTCCCCTTATTCTGCTGTCATGGGAAATATATGTATATGTGTATATATTTGTATGTATGTATGTGTATAGATAGATAGATATACATGTATATCTCTGTATGTGTGTATATCTATGTGTATATGTATGCATGTGTGGTTATGCATGTATTTGTGTATGTATGCATGTATGCATGCACTTGTATACATGTATCCCCAAGTGCATATATGCATATGTATACGTGCATACATATATGTGTATATATGCATGTATATTTATGTACGCATGCATCTATATGTATGTATATAGTTATATACGTATGTACATATATGTGTGTATGTATGTGCGTGCATATATTTATATATGTATGTATATATGTGTATGGATCTATGTGTATGTATATAGTTATATATGTATGTATGCGTATATGTGTATATATGTATGTATACATATGTATGCGTGTACACACACACATATATATGCACGTATGTGTATGTGTTTATTTATATCTATATGCCTGTAGAGATGTGTGTTTCTATATAGCCACAAAATCGCAGTCCCGCCCGGGCAGATAAGCAGATCTGCAGTCAGATCCTCCGGGATAAGGTAGTCAGCCCCGTTTATGGGCTTTTTAGTAGGGGGATCCACCTCGCGTAACTGAGCAAAAGGATGTGCAGTGATTTGGCAGCTCTTCTGTCTGCTAGGGAAACGGCTTCATACATTTCCTCCAGATGAGCTCGGAATTCAATTGCAGTTCACTTGCGGGGGCGGGGGGATGATGCTTTATGGTGTGCCCCTGCTCCCAGCTCTCACTTCATTTTTAGCGGGGGAGGGGGGGGTT